TAACATGAAATGTTTAAGTTTCACAACTTCTGTTAAATGTTTCTCACGTTCTCTGCTTTCATGATTCACACAGGTACAATCTCAAAAGGGCAGCGGTAGTCAACTCGGAAGAAGACAGTTAAAGGAAACAATAGAAAGTGAAGCAAGTTTTCAAATTACAAAGTTAACAAAGTGGTGGCACTGTTGAGTCAATACATCAAAAGGGGTTGGTTTATTGTGTTATCAAGATAACTAATTAGCCTAAGTAGACAGGAAAATCCTATATTTCCTTTGGGGTTTGGCTAATCGAAGGCTACTGCTCTGGTATGCTAGGTTTAACGATGACTTGAGTTCAGTTGTAGCCACCTACAGGCTACACTGTCTCATTGCATCAACCAAACACCAGGGGGAGCACTGTCCTGTGAGGTAATTTAATACCTAAAGGATAATTAAAAAAAAAACTTGATTGCAAATTAATTTAAAACTAATTCAATTAGTAATGACATTAAATGATTCAGAAATATGATTTTTATCAATAACCTTGATTAAGAGTTGCTATAATTAAATTAATCAATAATTGTTATAGAAAAGGAAAACCAAACATCAATTAACTATTAATGAAATTAAAATTTTCAAATAGTAATAATGTTGGTTGAGACTAACACTCAGTGAGGTTGTCATTAAAGTCATAAACACAATTATGATTTAATTAATCAGCAAGCATTCCTGCAAATCAGTTATGAGAACAAATCAATTTCAAAATCAATGATGATAGGGAATGCGTGGTATTCCTGATGTCATTAAATTTGATCAAAAGTGTTTATTTAAAATTAATCAATAACTGTTATTAAGATAGGGCAGCCAAGCATCAATGAACTATTAAATGAAATTAAAATTTCAGAATAGTGATTGTGTTTGTAAAGTCCTAGGACAATAAATGTTATAATTTAATTAATCCGTAAACACTGTGCTTATAAATCAACTTCAAATATCAACAGTCATAGAAAATGATTGTTCCTATAATGTTGATAAGTTTCAGAAGAGGAAAGCATTAATCACTAATTAAGCCTTAAGCATTAATTTGATTGAGCAATCAAAAGCATTATGTTATAGTCATAAACTATAATTCATTGCTAATAAACCAACAACTTATGAGCATTTGAATTAATAAAACAGGCCAGGTTCAGCAGGAAAAGCATTTGACAAATGTGATTAAACCAGCGATGAATTCGCGTACAATAGGGTTTATTAAATCTGCATTAGTCACAGCCTTTTCCAAGAAAGGGGGAAAATTAGAAATAAGGCAAATAGCCTATAAAGAGTGAGAATCGAGATTCAAATTCTTGCTAGCGTGAGGTTGTCACTTCAACTTAACACACTGCATTCAAGACCATAAGAAGAGCGCTACTACACTAGCCTCTAATGCTATAATGGTATAGCCATACCACACACTTCAATGCAACAGCGTGAGCTTCAGTTAGCTTAGCCTTGTGCTAATGTCTACAGCCGATGCAAGCGCGGAGGACTGCGCATGCGCACTTGAGAGTACTCTGAAAAGTCTTCCAGGACTTTCGGGAGGCTGTTACTATGACGACGTACACAGAATGAACCAATATGCGGTTATGCCCACAAACATACATGCATTACATGAAATGGCGGCGCATTTCACACTGCTCAACATAATATAGCACTATTATGATCTCGGCGGATCCTAGCGCTCTGTGTCGAGACTATTCACAGTCAAAGACACGCGTGGATTCAATCACGCACACTTTACTTGATCAAGATAAGTTCTCCCGTGAGAATACGCTCTGCCGCTCTCTCGAGCGCGGCGCGCTGAGTTCACTAACTCTGTTGTTAGTGAATTAAATGGCAAAAAGACAGTTAGCTACTCTGTGCTTAATTTGACCAGGGAGAAATGCACAGTTAGTCTTTAAAGCTGGGACACGCACCTTTAAATCAACTATGAAGGCCTTATAGGAGAAAGAATAAGGAACACGCTTATTGTTTCTCAATCCGTGCGCTTTACAGCGACATATCGTTTTTGTCTCGTGGACAAATAACTATTTACTGCAGTTCGCTTTCTCAAAAGCACTGGAGTTGCGCATTCGTGCGTTTCAACACACTGGGTACCACAATGAATCATACAGTAACACAACAACTTTGTTTCTCTGTCTCTGATCTATTCTTCCGGACAAAATAGAAAAGATAAACAATGTTTTTGTGCTTAAGTCAGATCGTGCTGTGCCCGCATTCTCCACCATTAATATGTAGGGGATCAACCTACGTTTTAATATCGATCAGGGGTTTATTAGCTCATTTCAATGAATCGGATCCTGAAGATTCGAATCATTGACTCGACTCAATTGAGTCAGATTGAATCAGATTAAAAGATTCACACTTTATCTACCATTTGTCCCGCAAATAGAAGACATCGTATCTTACCAATCTTGTTAATATTATTTACGTGGCCAACGATAATAACATAACACAGTATTGGATGATCTTTTAGCAAGGTAACAAGATCTACAGCTCGAGGCAATGACTTAGAAGCACATAAACAAGAACACAGTTCTTACAAAATGAGTACAAAGATTTATTGAGCTACACTACGATAAATGAAACTAACTACGTAATAAGCAAACAACAAACAAACACACACACACATTCACACATACACACAAAGGCAGTTCAGAGGATGCAAAATGAGTTCACAACGTCCCAAATTAATTCTAATAACGTTACTTCTTGCAAGATCTTAGAATAACACCTGAGAAACCACAAAAGCAGAGATATGGCTTATCTTTAACTGCTTAAGATCAATCTGCACAAGATCAGCAAGAGACAACATTAGTTTGTGTTACTTGCGCCCTTTTTGCTGAAGTCGAATCTCCCTCGCCGGCTGGCCTTGGGGAAACACGGTGCTCCTGATTGGGTGGTTTCTCGCTTCGATGACGTCTTTGGGATTCACGCGCTCGTGAATGGCTGTTGTCCTGGGTTACCGAGGTGACGGACTGCTGAGAGTCGGTTTGCGGAAGTTCATGCAGCTTCGGGAGTCCCGAAACTTAAGAGATTTGCGTGGAAGTTCGTAGTGACCCAATCGCGTGGCGGCGCGGTGTCCGGGCAGGCGAAAGGGGGCAGAGAGCAAAAGCATGCGCAAGCTAGCTGATGCAAAAAGCAAAGTTTCATTGTCGCAGGGCGTTTTTAAGTGACCTGGTCTGGTTCGTCCCCATGGCACTGTCTGCCAATGAGCAGTTGCCATAAAGGGCGGGGCCACGCCCCGTACTGACGTAGGAAAGGTCATTAATTAACAGACTGCATGTAGATTTCACGTGGTAGAATTCTTGCAAGATTGAAACTATCTTACATCAAACGTTACAAGATGAATACTGTTTGTACTACTAGTTTTTCATTTACACCAACGTATTGCAAATGTCACTAGCTTTCGTTCAATACCAGACATCATACATTTCAGACACATAAAGATTATTTTACTCTGTTATAAGGGTTAAAACAACACATTGATTAACCTAGTTGATTGGAATAAACAGCATATGAGGAACATTATGGCATATTATTCAAAGATACATCTGCCTTAGTTCTAACATTAAGAGATTAGCTTTTATTCATATGCATTAATGTTTCTAGAGATCTCTTTGTCTCTATGAAATGGTGCTTCTAGCAGGATGTGCCCAAGGCGAGCACATGACCAGGAGTCAATTAAAAGTCTCGTGAAATGGTTTCCGCTGAAGATCCTGTAAGGGCCATTGTTTTTAATTTAACTGATTTAATTAATCATTGGCTAGTTAGCCGAAGGGTACCAGAACATCTGCATAGAAGTACTGGTCAGAGGAGCCCGAAATCAATTGGCGCTCTGTTATCCTGATGGTATAAGCCCTCAAGCTAGTTCAATGAATGAGACCATTGGAGATGCCCAAGATTTCAGATTCAACTTGTGTTGACCACTGAAAAATGCAGATGAGTTCCTACAGTAAGTAGGAGAAAAAAAATTAATACTTCAGTAAAGTACAGATACTGCCTTTTAGTAATTAAGTACAGTAGTGAAGTAGTTCTACTTCGTTACTATACATCTTTGGAAAGGTGTACATTCCAGCCTTTATGCAGATGTTGTACAGATATGTCTCATGTCTGAGAGGTAAATATTTAGCTGTTTGTTTGGCTGTTACCTCAGAACTTTTATTTTCTGATGCGTTAACCAGTCAGGCACAGAATGAAAAAGTATTCCCTGTCATTTTGTTGTAATTATAAATATATACAAATAAAAATAGGCCATTAACAGTGTAACTACCCGCCGGTTATTAAACAGTCCACGCTTCCAAATACTGATGTCCACCATGCGTTTCATTTATTGAACACCGTGAAAACTGCACAATCAACACAATCAAAAGGACATCAAAATAAACAAATAATATATAAAACAATGTTTAGTTTACCGTGTTGGCCTGATAACCAGCTGTAGAATAAGCAGGAGCATTAAACAGGTGCTTGCATTGAGATCTCACTATCCTGAGTGACCATACAAACTCTTGCAGGTTAAATCAATCAATGAGAATCATGTGACTTTCCACTCAAGCCAACCGGAAACAAAGAAATTAGTAACAAACATATACCAATACACATTCAAATAATGAAATTCAAAACAATAAACAACATTACAAGCTGACCAATCAGCATCAGCTACAAACAGCTTTCAAATCTGTGTCTTATTAATATGACCAAAATGACTTTTATGAGAAACTTGGAGAACTGGACTGACACGGTTTCAATTTACTATAACTTCTTTGTTAAGTGTCTTTGACAGAATTCACATTGTAAAAACACTAGATAAATGAAGATGATTGGAATCTGCTTAAGTGTGTACACGTTAATGGACCAAACAAACTATGATCTGATTTATTTTACATTTATCATGCATCAAAATTACATTGTGTGTGTGTTTTGATGAGAGTTTTTAAGACTTAATGAAAACTAATGTTTATTTATTTATTTCAGACCTAATTGAAGAGAAGGAGAGGAGTAAAGAGGAGGAACATCATGTTAAAATTGAGGAAAAAACTCATTTACAGACTGATGGTATATTGAAAAGGAGAGACAAAAATAGTTTCACCTGCACTCAGTGTGGAAAGATTTTGGCAAGCAAAAGCAAACTTAAGGTTCACATGAGGATCCACACCGGAGAGAAACCATTCACATGCACTCAGTGTGGGAAGAGTTTCAGCATATCATCATCCCTTAATCTACACATGAGGATCCACACTGGAGAGAAACCATTCACATGCACTCAGTGTGGGAAGAGTTTCAGCCACTTATCACCTTTTAATAAACACATGAGGATCCACACTGGAGAGAAACCATTCACATGCACTCAGTGTGGGAAGAGTTTCAGCTTATCAACATCCCTTAATCTACACATGAGGATCCACGCAGGAGAGAAACCATTCACATGCACTCGGTGTGGGAAGAGTTTCAACTGCTCATCAAACCTTAGTAAACACATGATGATCCACACTGGAGAAAAACCATTCACGTGCACTCAGTGTGAGAAGAGTTTTAGGATATCATCATCCCTTAATCTACACATGAGGATCCACACTGGAGAGAAACCATTCACATGCACTCAGTGTGGGAACAGTTTCAGCCAATCATCATCTCTTAATAAGCACATGAGGATCCACACTGGAGAGAAACCATTCACATGCACTCAGTGTGGGAAGAGTTTCAACCGATCAGAACACCTTAATCTACACATGAGGATCCATACCGGAGAGAAACCATTCACATGCACTGAGTGTGAGAAGAGTTTTACCTGCTCATCACACCTTAATCGACACATGAGGAAACACACTGGAGAGAAACCATACGCATGCACTCAGTGTGGGAAGATTTTCAGCCAATCATCATGCCTTAATCTACACATGGTAAGCCACAACGGAGAGAAACCATGAACTACGAAACTCTGACGGACTCTGACCTGCGAAATCGCATCACTTGACTGTGAGACCAATCGAAGATCAAAACATGACCTCTCTGGACCGAAATTCTAAAAAATGTTCCAATCGCACACTGTTTTTAATGTCTAATCATCTTGTTTGTTCCCGCTCCTTTTCGCAACACCATACAACAGAATTTTGCATGCTCAAACTCTAGTGTGACCGCAGCTTTGGCGTGGGATGAGTTTCAGTAACTCTTCAGACCTTAATAAACGCATGAAGACCCACACTGGGGAGAAACCATTCACATGAACTCAGTGTAAGAAGAGTTTTAACCGATCAGCAAACCTTAATGAACACATGAAGATCCACACTGGTGTGAAAGAGTAATTGTGCTTTGAGTGTGAGAAGACTTTTATTACAAAATTGAAACTGCACCAGACGTTTTACACTTGAGAGACCATACAAGTGTTCACACTGTGACGAGAGGTTTAATCAGTTAACACATCTGAATCACACAAAAGAGAATTCACACTGGAGAGAAACTGTACATCTGAAATCTGATGTGTCTACAGAATTGGACAAAAAGTTGCACACATTACATGAAACATACAAAACATTTTCTCATGTAGGGATGTCCCGATACAACATTTTAACTTCTGATACGATACCGATATTGCAGCTTTCAGTACGAACCGATACCGATATATCATTTTTTAATTTTATAAAATATCTTAAATGAATGAACAAAAATAAATTTTTAAAGTGCAAAATGCTAATTTAAGGTCACTTCAGTTAATAATTTTTTTATCATCAGCAAATAGTAGAAACAGCTGAGAGCAGGAACATATGAAAAAAATATTGTTAATTGAACAACTGCTAAAAGTTCAGTGTCCAAAGTGTCGATTTCAAACACAGCTTTTTGGTGAATTTTTGATCCAGTTGAGCTGAAAAATATCTTTCACACTGGGCAGCAGAAATAATTTATTGTTAAGTTAATAAAAATGTGCAGTATGGTTAGTACAAACATTTTCATGACCAGATCAATTTAATCTTTGTTTGTATCATAAGAACATTATGGCTGTATCAATTTTCCCAAACATTATTAATTTTATAATATTATATATTGCACATATTATCTTTAACATAAATATACTTGCAAAAGCTGGATTGAAACACACCTTTTCTCCACCGCACATACAATAATATGACTTTTAAGAATAATTTTATTTATGAAAATTCATTTTATTTGCATAATATATTGCACAGATTCCACCCTACTGCCCACATGGGAAAAATTAGACAATGTGAAGAACTGCAAACTGGTGTGCAAAGCTGACACTTTTTATCAGAGCACTTTATCTTTCTGGGCTTTTTAACGAAGAGTTAATCATGGCAATGTCTCTAATTAAATTTTCCTTCTGCCCCAAAAGTAATACCATTCTTTCTTTTAAACTGTAACGGCCCTCAGCAACAGAATGATTTCTTATTCTTATTTAACAGACAATTAACGAAAAAAAGAAAAGCGGAGCTGCGGCAAAATAATGGATAAAAAGAGTGAGGATATGGTCAAGTAAATAAATAAATGAAAAAAAAAGTGCAACTGCTGCTTTCTCCGTTTACCATGCTGGAGAGGAACAATCTGCGCAAAAGAAGCGCAGAGTTGGTTTCATTGAATACAGCTCTCATCTGATTGGCTGAAAGGTACGAGTAGTCCTGACTCTGGCAGGTCTCAAAAATACACACACACACGTATCCAGGGGGAGTCGTACGTGAAAGAGGATTTGCACATTCTCATTCAGGATGAACTCGTAAGTTTTAAACATTCAAACTTTTTGTACACTCTTATACATTTGCAAATGGTGTTTTGCATTTGTGAAACGTATTTTATAAAAAATGTATTTTTATTTTGTGCACGTGAATTTTTTTTTGTGAATATAAATATTTTACGCACGTGAATTTGGTTTTATGCACGTAAATTTGGCTACGCATGTGTATTTATTTATTTACTTACTTTATTTATACTGGGACAATGTACAACATGACATGTTGTGCCAGAGTTAGCTATAAAGCTAATTTACATATGTAGTCCCAGGGCAGGAAGTAACAAATTTAACACTTATAACAAATACAATATACACTTACAGTACAATAAATACAATACATCATTGTCAATAAAATGAAATCAAATCAGTGGCTGCATATTTGGTTTTGTTTTAGCCAGATTTTAAGAACAGTTTTAAAACGATTAAAAGTGCTGCTCTCTCTGATATACACTGGTATTTTATTCCATCTTTCTGCTGCTTTAACTGAAAAAACTGATTGTCCAAAAGCAGTTCTCTTAAGTTTAACTGAACAATCACCTCTAACAGATAACCTAGTCTGTCTTATATTGTCCTTGCCGACGATCACACATTGTTTGAGGGGTGGTGGTGCAAGATCATGAAATATTTAATACATTAAACACACATCAACATAAAATAAGAAACTGTCAAATGTTAGTAATTTTTGTTGTGCAATACAGTTGCAATGATGATAGCTCCTTGGCTTTTTAGCTAAAATTTTAACAGTTTGTTTATATATAACATACAATGGTTTTAATGTTGTAATGTTCGTATGCGACCAGCTTGTAGCACAATAAGATAAATGAGGTAAAATCATTGTATTCATAAAAAGTTTAGCAGCAGCCATAGGTAACTGATGCCTAATGTTTCTATAGATCCTCAGGCTTGCTCTAGCACTTTTGGAAACCTTCCTAATGTGTTTTTTAAAATTTAAATTGGAGTCAATAATTATACCTAAATATTTAAAATGATCAACAATATTTATTACTTCTCCATTAACTAAAATATCTGAGCAATGCTCCTCATTTTTCTTAATTGAAAAAAACATTCCCACAGTTTTACTTACATTGAGGGTAAGACATGAACGATATAACCAATCTGAAACCTTTTTGAGTGCAGCAGTTAGTTTTTTAGCAGCATGTTCTTTGGTTTTAGCGTGAGTATATAGTACCGTGTCGTCTGCATACATTTGAACCTGAACTTCTGGACACACTGTAGGCAGATCATTAATGTATAAACTAAACAAAATTGGTCCAATAATTGATCCTTGTGGAACTCCAAAATTACAATTGATGTATGGTGAGCATGCACCATTAATTCTTGTACATTGCTTTTTTGATTTAAAATATGACTTCATCCATGATAATGCGTTAACAGAAAAATAAAACCTTGATAATTTAGATAAAAGTATGTTGTGGTTAACATTATCAAAGGCCTTTTTAAAATCAATAAAGACAGCACCAACAACTCCACCCCTATCTAGACTGCATTTAATTTGTTCAATAAAGTAACAGTTTGCTGTCTCCGTAGAATGACGTGCTCTAAATCCAAACTGCATAGAGTGTAATGGAAATTTATTTAAATTTAAATGCTCTACCAGCTGATTACAAACAACCTTTTCAATTACTTTAAAGGCAGTTGGTAAAATACTGATAGGCCTATAATTCACCAGATTAGTAGGATTAGTAGGGTGTTATTACTGCTGACTTCCTGGCACTTGGAACATAAGATTGTCTTATTGATAAGTTAACAAGGTGAGTTAAAGGTGTACTTAAAACATTTGCATACTTTTTAAAAAATGCTGAGTCACATTCAAAGGCATCTTTAGCTCTAGAACTCTTAAGTTGACTTAAAAAATTTTGTACACAAGATTCAGATACTTCAGAAATATTAAAAACAGTCAAATCATAATTTGGTAATGTAATGTCTTTACTTCTAAAACTAAATCCTTGTGCCAAATCTTGGGCTGAATCTATAAAAAAATTATTAAATAACCTAGCAATTTGATACTTATCTTGAATTAAACGTCCCTGAGATTGTAACTCAATGGCTTTATTATTAATAGTTATCTTTTTTTGCACTTTATTAATATTCTCCTATACTTCCCTACTATTGCCTTTTGCATTATTTATAAGATCAATAAGAAATATTGCTTCTGCTTGTCTTAGTTCCTTTACAACTTTATTACGCAGTTGCTGAAAGGTTCTTTTATCATGGGCTAACCCTGATTTAATTGATTTCTTTAGGGCATGATCCCTCTGTCTCATTAATTTCCACAATTGTTCATTTAACCAAGGTAAATTTTGCCTTTTTTGTTTTTTAGAGAAGGTGATATTTCTACTAAATTTACTTTTGGTTTTATTAATTTCTGCCATTAAACACTCAGATGCATCTTCTAGATTATCTGTAGATAATATCTAATTTTTTGATTTCCTCTTCAAATTAATTTTTAAGCTTTTTTGGTATAACATTTAACACATTTCTTTTATCTTGTTGATATAAAAACCTATGTTTTGTTAGTTTTCTTACCACTAATATAAGATTATGATCTGATATCCCTGTTAATAAGTTTATTGACTTTGTTACTCTTTCTGGTTTATTGCTAAAAATCAAGTCAATGTGGGTTTCAGATGATGAAGTAATTCTAGTAGGCCCCTGAATTAACTGCACTAGGTCAAAACTGCTTACTATTTCCTGAAGCTTTTTTCTTTGTAACTTTTCAGTCCAATTAATATTAAAATCTCCAACCAATATTAATTCTTTTTTTGGGTCGAGCTCTTTCATAAAATGTTTTAAATTATCATAAAACCCGCTCTTTGATGAAGGAGGTCTATATTCCTCCAATCCTCTTCAGTAGGTCTTGGTAAATGTGTAAGTGCCATGTTCCTGTTAATTGCAGCACATGTGTCCTTGATGGCTTTAGCCACTGTGCTCTCCCAAAAGGATAATGAAAGGCAATTGTTCTGACTGAGTTTCCTGTTGCCAAATACCTGTAAAGTAACCAATAATATCAATGTTATTTTCTCTGTTTTTGACAGAACATGAGTGCAGGATTAGATGGAAGGCACTTTGTGACAACTATATAAAGTGGAAAAAAGGCAGCAGTTGCCAAGTGGCTCTGGAGCAACACGTCAGCAGAAATGGAAATATGCTTTCCTGAATGTATTTTTACAGAATAGAAGGTACTTTTTATGGTAATGTAATTTAATATAGTAATGTAATAATTAAAAATGATGCATGCTAAGTTTGTTTTTACATTTAAGCACTGTAATATTGAACATTGTGCACAATTAGTAAATTTTCCCAGTACAATCAGTAATCTTGATTTTGAAAATCATATGGATGGATCAGTCAATGACAGTGATGTGGATACTCCACAAGAGGAAAGCCCAGAACTGGAGAGTGCAGAAAATAAAAATGAGGAACTTCAAGAAAGGCCCCAGAGACCCAGAAAAAAAAGAGATGACCCTAAAAGTCCGAACACAAAAATAAATGAAAAACTTGTGGACTTTTTAGTTACACCAACAGAGTCACCAAAACAACACGACGAAACAGAGCTTTACAATATCCTAATAATGATAATAATAATAACAACAACAACAAATACAACAGCAACAATAATATATTATCATTATTTATAATAACAATAATTATTATTAATAATAATTATTATTATTATCATCATATTATAATTATTGTTAAAGTATGATTTTTTTTCATTTCTAAAAAATAATAAATATTACATTTCATTTTATAATAAATAGCCTAATTATTTATTTATCTATTATTTATATGATACTAGAATATGTATTAGCTTAAGTGATGTTTTAGAATTGAATATGTAATGTTTAACTTTTCAATATTAGTAAAGCAAACCCAATGTGCCATTTAAAAAAATATTTCAATTAATATGTA